ATCCTCTCCAAACATTGCATTACGAATTCGGTTAGAACGGACAACGGTAATAAATTTGGAGCCGTTACGCATTCAAGTCCCACGGTACGCATTGACCGAACGCAAATTGCTCCAAATGGTTTCACGTCGAGTCCCGTATGATTCCCGTGTGTGATCTCATTTTTCAAGCGGTCTTAGATAATTTGTTTCTTGCAGATCATCTTTTTTTTCTTAACAATATCACAGGAGTGAAATACGAGCGATCGGTTCCGATTCATTGCTCTCTCTGAAAACACTTTTCTGCATTGTAAGAAATAGTTGTAGGAAGAAGAAATATTTGCGAATGTGTGTGTGTGTGTGTGTGTGTGTGTGTGTATGTGTGTGTGTGTGGGTGAAAAAAAGATTCGCGTGACGTCAGAGTAGATGTTGTTTTTTGGGTCGGTGAAATTCTGTTAAATCGTTTCTCCTCTCGGAGAAATGAACGCCTCAAGACGACGCGTCGTTCATGCCGAAACGCACGTCGGTGGATTGAAAGTACGTTTAGTTCTGATCGTGACGACGCATCACGTGGCCGGACATCACGAACTTGGCCTCAATCTTTCAGCAAATTCTTTATAATACTTATCTTCCTAGAAGATGTACCGATAATTGTACGAGCTCGAGAGAGATTCATGATGATAATAATACAACAAGATAGTAATCTTAATAACAGAAGTGTGGTGTATACAATAGAAACATTTTATTTTATTTATCGAATACATAAAAATTAATTTTTTTAAATATAGATCGGCTGATGTTTAATAATCATGAACCGAAAACGTCTCACTCTATTTCATTTAATGTTAAAAACACAGATACATTAATAGCTTTATATTGTGTAAATAACTTTAGTAAGAATTTTGTAGAAATTGCAACGTAATTTCACTGAGAGAGATTTGCTATGAACGCAAGAGAGATTACAAAATTTAATTTAAATTTGTTTCCTGTTTATAGCAATCAAATATTTGACAAATATTTTGCATTTGTTCCAAATAATCTTCTGTAACCAGTACAAAATTGCGCATTAATCTATATTCGTTACTAATATAATTGTAAGCATTATACAATGTAATTTGCCCATATTTTGCATTTTAATTTTGAATTTTCGCGTACTTGTAAGCTCTCTAAAGTTCTCAGTTTTTAGTTTGCAGAGCTAAAAGATTTTATATATTTGAAAATGAATGCTCTTTGTTCATTTGTTTTAATATTATTAACATTGGGCTTGATAGTCATGTCACAAAGTAGAAGCAAAGTAGGTTTGCAAATATGTTATATTTAATTTATCATTATTCAATATTCAATATAAATATATTATACTTTATTGTAAATATGTTTTATATTTCATATTTAAGAAAATTCCGTTAATATACAGTAATAAAATAAAAAGAATTAATTTCAATTTTTTTTACTTTATTTTAATTAATTAATAATTTAATTTCATCTTAATCTTTATCTCCAAATATTGTATACAATTATATATTTGTTGCTTTAACAAATACATTTATTTTTATTGCAATTGTTGCAAACCTTGATTGCTGTTAACAAGGGTTAACAAGTATAATTCGACAAATTTTATTTGTTACACTTGATGTAAATAATTTTGCGATCCTTATATTTGCAAATAGAATTTGCTGTTATGGCATAAAATTAAGTTATAGCAGCTTTTTCTCTTCGTATTCGTATTATTATAAATATGCAAAGAAAAGATATTTGAAAGATAAAAGGTAAAGAAAGATATTTGAGGTAATATATATTTTATATAAATCAATCATTTAAGCATAAAATTGATCAGTATAAATATGATTTATGTTGATCATTTTTTCTTTATGTTGATCATTTTTTTCTGGTATTAGTTAGAGAAATGAGGAAATCGCGAATTACTCAACTCGTTTTAACTTCTATAATAAATTCAAGAAGACTTCCAACGATGAATCATCGATAAGCAGTTCTACTCCGAGATTACATGGTATTTATGACGTTTCTCCGGCAATATTTGTGCTGATTAAACTCATATTATCATTATACGATTTTTACGACTGATTTTTCAAGGAAAAATCATATTTGAATTCCATGCAAGTGTCAATAGCATAATTTTTAATGTGACTTGTTTCTTTAACTGGAAACAGATCGTAATGAGTTTATGATAATGAAGTTGAGACACGAGTTGCGACATTGATAAATGAGCTTTTAAATGACTGTACTTTGGTAAATGTCATAAATCGATTGTTCGTGCTAAAATAATAATAGAATACCTTGAACTCTTTTAAATCTTTATGTTGCTATAGAAAGCGATCTTGTCCCCCCCCCATCTCATCCCAATCAAAATAAATCGACATTTAACACGCGAATTAAATACATTCTCAATTAAGATCGAAACGCGATTTAATTAAATTTTGACTTTCTAAATTTTTCTTTTTTTTTTAATAAAACTAAAATTAATATATCTTAATTAATATATTCTCTAAAAATCTTAAATATATACATATACATAAATAATCGTTTACAATTATACAATATATTTTCTTGTATTGTCAGAAAAAAATATACGACACACATTTTACACATTTACCATTAAATAGAACATTGATTTTATTCATGAAAGAATTAGTGTAGGTGCAAGGCGCAAGAATTATTCATGTATTTCTCCTTGTTTCTTACGTCAGAATTCAATGTAGCTGCGGGATTCTATCAAGAAATCTTAGCATCTTTCATGTTTTTTGCAATATGGTGTAAACGGTAAAACTGAAATTTTAACCGAAAGTCACACCGAATTATGTGAAGTTAATCGCATTCTTTGTGGTCGCTTTTCCTAAGACCGTCAGCAGTATAATTTCGCACACAAGCATACAAAATGCAACGGCTCTAATTTATTACGCTATACGTGAGCACGGTGAGCAATGTCGAGACAGCGAGGAAGATGAGAAAAGAATCGTCTGACTCGAAGTGGGCGCACGCTCAATTAAGGCGCGACCACACGTGAGGAACCGTCGTGCCGCGTGGGTCCCTCTAGGCCAACGACGAAGAAAAGGGGGATTAGTGCACGCTCAATTAAGGGGAGCACGTAGCCCGGAACGGACATTGCTCCAGAACACGTCGCGCTGCACCGACTTCGTCAAGTACATTCTTACATTCTTTGCTTGATATTCGTCAAAGGCCAAAGCTGCATTTAGAAGCAATTGATGCGACACTTGATGTCAACAATTCACTTTCTATACGTAAATAAACTGTTAGTAATATATTTTAATATTCATTTTTTATGTTAATTTTTAATTTTTACTAAGAAAACAATATATATTATCTGTGTGAAATGTGTGTGAACGTATTTATTTATTTATTACACTTGCACTATTAAAAATCACTCTCGTATTTTTATGAGATTAGAGAGAACTTTTTTTAGAATTTTTTACAATAATATATATAAATATAGAAAAATATAATATTGTACACGATTTATTTACAAAAATATTAGAAATGTAGAATATTATCTATAAATGTGTGTGAACGTATTTATTTGTTTATTACACTATTTTTTAAATTTAAATTAACTTTTTGAAAGTGCTGAAAACTTATTAATATAAACATACAATTAAGGAGCGTATAGCCTCAAGATTGTAAATACAAATTTTATAATTTAATGTATTAATTCGAAATACATTATTTTATCTCTTAGAACATCTTGAGTTGTGGCTATATGCTTCTTAATTGTATATTTTTATTACATTATTATAAAAATTATTTATATTTTTACGAGATTAGAAAGAACTTTTTTTTAAATTTTTTACAACAGTACATGTAAAATATAGAAAAATATAAAGTTATATACGATTTATTAATAAAAATATTATAGAATATGTATAATATTATTCATTTGTAATGAATATATATTTTCTAACACATGTACACATACATTTTTTCTCAACTCTTATACTTTGACGAAAATCTATTAATTTTCCATTATTTTTTCCGGGTCTCCTTTGAATTTCATTCTACGAAACGGTAAATTAATTTCTGCATAAATACCTATAAATCCTTTTCGAAACTCATGCAACGAACGCGGTACTGTTCAATTAGCTTTACACCATGAGTAGCAATATTAATTTGTTGATAATTACAGTTGCATAGACAGCTCGTAGTATGTAATTTTCTTTTTTTTTTCGTGAGATAGTCCGATACACTCGCGGAATTTTGTCGGATCTCGTAGATTCGCCGTTATTCGTTCCGTCCATTTCTCGATTGATGTGAATCTGCAAAAAGAGCTTGTGGGTGAATATTGGCCTTTGGCAATAAGATATTCGCGGTTGTGAAGATATGTTTCTTCGACGCGGAAGTCGACCTGGCAGTAGATATTCCAAAGAAGGTGGATGCGTAGGTGAAGGTCACGTAAGAGGTCAGGATATTCCCACGATCAATTTTATCGAAGATGTCGAGCTGTAAGATTTATTTCGAAGTCACTCGTTAAAATTCTTCGTTTATGCAACGCTCGACCACGTGCTCCGCTATTCGCTAACTCCGCAACTGATTCGTCTCCGGGTGTGTAATTGAATTTAATTAAATATTCATATTAAATCGATCACCATGGAGAAAGAATTTACGTACCATTTTCTTTAAATCGATTTAATACAACGAATAATCGAACAAATAGACCGAAGTACACAATTTAAATATTGAAGCAAAGATTCTCGATAACATTGAACGATTAAATCGTACGTCGAGAGATTGATTTCATTAACAATTTTAATCTTATACACAATTTCTTTCTCGTTTAATGATATCGGACGTTTAACTACCATTGATTTCCTTTTATGCCTCGTGACTCGACTATACGGGTTTACTCTCAGAATTTGTTAGGGAGATCGATTTTTGGCGGGGTCACTATTGCACATGCGACGCAATCTCGATGCGCGTCACACTTATTCTCACGACCATAATCGCAAGGGTGCTACTTCCGGCCGATACGTCGGCGCCGTCGCGGCGGTATGGCATCTCGGCGTCCGGCGACACTGATTGTGAGTCAGTGCGTCGCGCGACGTCACTCGTATATGCATCCTCGAGCACCACGTGCTCCGATTTCGTTCTTATATCTTGCTCTAAATGTTCGCGTCGCGCGTGTAATGTGTGTTGCTGAGGAATTTTGGAGCCTCCTTGCGTGAATGTTGACCACGACGTACAAACGCGCGGCCCAGAAGACGTAAATACGTTAATTATTTATGATAATTATGCACCATCTCATGTTTTTCCTCATTCTCTTCTATTATCGATATCTCTAATATTTTTAGTCGCGTTTTAAACAAAAATTCTTCCTAAGAATCAACTTGCTTGGTGCGATCGTCCAATCAATCTGATTTTGTGTTGGCTTACTAGATGATATATTGGTCTCCTTGTATCTCTTTTATACACGGATAGTTTGATTTTCATATTGCAAGAATCTTAATGGTGCGGGTCTGTTTTTTCTCCGTAACGCAATTTTACAACGCTCAGATAATAACTGCAAACATCTGATAATCAATACTTGTAAATTTATTTTTACATCTTTTTCTTTACATAATGTTATATGGATTTTTCATTCTCGTAATTAAGGATGATTTTATGTATATTGACAAATGCTGCTTATAATTATCGTTAACAGTTCCATTTTTGCATGTAATAGTAAATGCATCGATGAGTCATCGTTAGATATAGCAAAGATTTAGTATATCATGTCAGAAAACGATACTATTAACAATGCTTTTACTCTGATTACAGACAATCTTTTCATGTGATATGTATTACAATTATTTGCGATATTTCCTAAAAATGCGTTATTGTAGAAGTAAACGCCATGAGTTTTTTATTAAATTTATTATGCGTATACGTGCTAAATATAACCGAAATAGATTCTTTGAATTTAGCGAGGTAGCTTGGCAACTTAATTTAGAGAAGCTAAATGAAAAAAATAAGATTAAAATTTATATATTAACATGTGTAATATGACAAGTTAAATATTATGTTATTTTCATGTGCGAAAATAATCTAATTAATCTCTTATTTATCTAACGATAATAGGTTCAATTTAGAGTCATAAGACTTAATTTTATTCACTGAGATATGTGCATTAAACTTAGAACTTGTAGCGATGTGATATTAAATTTCAGTATCAGAGTACGTTGAACCTCTCCTACGCTAGTGATAAGAACGAGTATGTTTTCCGCTTTTTCACCAACCAGAAGCAATTTCTAAGGGGGAATCTTCTTCGTGGTGCAAAGAAACCATTAACTATCCTGTAATGGAGGTATTCAGCGGGTCAGCTTGGACTCCGTAAGCTGAGACCGGTACCGGTATTCGACACTTGATTTACCCACAGAGATAGGTCACGCGACAATATTCTCCGTTTTTTTCCTGCAGGCAATGTAAATTCTCCAACATATTCGCGTCCAACTTCCGTCAGATTGCGAATTCTGAGTTTTTTCAAAGATGCTGTTTGCATTACTACAATAATATAGGCCATATTTATCTTTCTATCTCCAGTTTTGAAAAATAAAAGGATTCCTCTTAAGTATTTCATTTAAAATATACGTCTAAATTTTATAGTATTTTATTTAAAGTATTCATTTAGATTTTTATTATTATAATTTAAGATTATATGCACAATTAACGTATAATAATGTGCGAAAAATGTAAATAATAGATTAATTGAATTTTTTTCGGATATATGAAAATAATATATTTAACTAGATTGTCATACTTATTACACATATTCATATATAAAGTTTAATCTTGTTTTTTTCATGGTTTGTACTATCATCATTATGTAATACTGAAAAAATTATACTCAAAAATTTCTTACTTTAGAATCAATCATATCATTTAAGAAGCAATCATAAATAACAAACCATAACTTTTCTTTTAATTCAAGCATCAAGAATATATAATATAGAAAATTTGATGCTGCTGTTGTAATGTAATACGATTATGGATATTTTTACATTTGTAGCAGCGTCAAATTTTTTATGTTAAATATTTTTGTTTCTAGATCAAATGATTGGTTCAACTGTTATTGAGAACGGATAATCTCGGATACTCGCAAGTAGCTGGCTTGTACATATAATATATAAATACACAGAGTAATCTTGCGCTACAAGTATTCTTGGCATGAGACATTACTGTGTCTCTTAATATTTCAGCATTAATATAAAACATATGACAAAATTACTGTAACAACTTAATGTTATTTATAAATATTAATTTATTAGAATGAGGAATTATAAACTTCCTATAATTGCGAAGGTTTCATTGTTCATTTAACCGGAAAAATCGATATGTGTGGAAAGCAAAGTGATCTGCGAAAGCGATACTCCTCTCTCGTTTGCATGCTTGATTAATTCTGTCCTGTGGAAGGATGCGCCGTTATATTGGATTGCCTCAAAGGTCGTGGTATAAATTAACAAACGATCCTTGCCGCCTGCGTATATAACGTTGCGAAGAAAACAAAATGATGTGAATGTCGGCAAGTTGAAATTCCCCGAACGCGGGAAATGCAGTGCAAGTCACGGCAAAGAGTCAAGGAGATGTCAAAGTTGAAGTTGGGGACTGGAAAGGGCGATAAAATGCACTTAGCAACGAGCTCGGACTTACGAGTTGTTCTCTTTGAAATTCACTCGTCTGCACTTTTTACTTTTCAAGTTTTTTTTATTTTGCGAATTGTCTGAGATTATACATCTTTTATAATGAAACCGTCTGCCGATTAAGAAACTTCGACACGCTTCAATTATCGAACAGCGAAGAATGGATATATGAAAAGATCTAAGAATTTTCTGCAAAACACAAACAACTAATACATTGAACTTTCTCTCCGTCTTGAAGATCTGAAGTACCAATTGCACCAAAAACTTCAATGCACAAAGTCTTAAATGCTTGATAAAATGATAAATGTCTTACATATTTGAAAAATTGTACATGGAAAAAATAAGGCGAAATAGATTAATTTTAAATAGAATAATTTTAAGTACTTTTAGTCTATCAACGATTTCGAATATTTATATCTTTCTGGGGATCTCTTATAATCCCCTGTTTTGTAGAAAAATTCTAAAAAAATTTTTAAATTCCATATTATAATTTATAATTCAAGATTTATAATTTATTTTCCAATCTTGAAAAATAATTTGCTGAATGTATATTAATTGACAGTATGCGATGTGATAATGTACGTATATATTTTGACAGACAATTAGGATTCCTCGTTGACTTAATTAATCCTTAATTGTAACAAAGTTAACTCACCTGTTACGAATGTAACGGCTGATTCTTCTGGTCGTTATTTTGCCAAACGTTGTGGAACATTTGACCAACAATTCGTAACTTCCGTTTGATTTCCCTTTAAATTTCAAATGAATCAATTGTATGTAACGGCAATATTTAATACCTGTGTAAGATGATACAAATAAAGCTGTCATTATTACGTCCTAAATCTATCGTTAAAATTTTTACAACGTCATTAACTTAAAACAACTTGAAAAAGGACGCAGCTAGAGATTCTCTAAGAGTCATAGTTTTGTATGTAAGATAGTTAACAAAATCATATAAGAGAGAAGAACATACATTTATTATTTCATTCTCTTTCTCATTTTATCTTTTTTTTATATTTTCTCTCTTTTTTTTCTTCTTTCTCTCAGGAATTGTTAAAACATGATGGACCAATTAAAAATGGCTTTCTGCCAGACTCTTATCAGAAGATTTTTAGACGAAGCTCAGTGGGATTAATGTACAAAAGATCGAATTTATTTTATGATAGTGTTCACGGAACAATGTTGATGATTACATCGCTATAAACATGGTGCGTGCTTTTTATGTCTCGTTTCATAACTTTCAACGCGCTTTAAACGCCTCAGTGCTCCGTTACCTCGACGCGTTATAATAAGATAAGTTTATGACCTGCTACAACCGGCAGCTGTCCATGCATTACGTATTCATTTGAAGAGATCAATGATGCATCTCGATCAATATATCTTGCGATTCATTATCAATTAATTTCATAAAACGTTAGCTGCAAGCTATTATTTAATATTTCTTCAATGTTACTTCTGAAGTTTGTTAGATCTTGCTATTCAATTTTATTCGCGCAAATATAAAACAAATATAATTCTCCTATCAATTTTTATCGCGTTTCCAACTTTGTGATATTTGTTTTACTAACAAAAATAACGAAAGATAAACATTCGCGTATCGAGAACAGCTTTCCATGGAATCGAAGAAATTGCTTTCCATCAGAGCGAGATGCACGAATCAGAAATTGCTCGATCAGTATTTGCCCTCCTTTTCCGATAGGCATTCGCACATTTTACAGACAGCGCTACGATCCCCGCGTTCGGCTCAATTAACTCCTAGCAAATTGTCTGAAATTGAATTTTCGTTTCATCACTGTGTATGCTTATCGGCTACAATCAAAGTTAGGATTATTGGCGAAAGTGTTCCCAATTTATTCCATGATGAAACTTCATGATTTTGGATACGAATATCATCGATCTTTATTTAATTGTGAAACTGTGTTCTCGTTGATTAACTTATCTATCAAAAGGATGTTTTAGATTTACACTTACAGTTAATATTATTAATTTTATATTGTGCTACTAAACCGTTTACTTAGGTTAATAATTTTTTAAGCGCGTTAGAAACTTAGAATGAAAAGATTATAACAAAATTATTATAATATTGTATAAATTCTCGGGTAACTTTAAATAGTAATTAAATAGTAATTTTATGATAGGTATGATAAAATTTACAGTACATTAAAAAATATAACGAAGAGAATATATAATGTTCCCATAAAATACATTTATTTAAGATTTCAGTACATACACATAGACTTTTAATATTGAAATAAAACATTTTATTCCTTATTTAGAAAATTGTATATAAAAGTTCAACTACCGAATGGACGGAGGATGAAGAATGTGTGCTTATAAAAAATTATGCGTGCATGAGAGTAATTATAATAAATAGAACATGAAAATCATTATGGTCAATCGACTCGTTACTTCAAGGTAACGTGGCAGGAATCGATAACAGCGTCATATCTATAGAAGCGCCTTACTAATAATAAACTGGTGACGAAAACGTGTCATAAAGTTGCGTATCACTTGGATAGTTGTTGAAGTATCTATAATCTAATAGAATAGCTTATATTTGTTTTCCCGACGAATAATTGTATGCGTCTGCGGTATCATCGATGTCAAATTGCTCCGAGCACTAATCTTTGTGAATTTCATAGTCAGAGACAACAGCGATATCAGGGGCATAATTAGGATCATAGTTAGGGACATGGTCATTGTTAGGGACATGGTCATAGTTAGGGACCGAAATTGAAGGCTCGATACTATAAGCTGAATTAGAGTTTCTCTGGAAATCTGAATTGTCCTTAAAGTTATCCGAAGAATAGTTTGGAATATTCGTATAGCAATTCAAACAACGGGACGGATAATTACCTTGATCGAAATCACTTACTAATGGAATATATGATTCAGATTTGTCCTGTTCGACATAACGTGTTATGTCAATGATATCCGGTATCCATGAAGTGTCCCCTTTATTTTTTGTCCGTGCATCAGTACTTGAAAACGTTTGATAATAAAAAGGAATGGGATTGCTTTGTCTTGTCTGAATGTCGAAATACTGTTTGAAGATCTGCAACAGCTATGTATATAATGCATTTTATTAATTATTTGTAAAAATATTTTTTTCTCTCTTTCTAAGAATGTTATATAAGATATTTTATAGTATATCATGTATGAATATTACATATTTTACGTTATGAAAAGAGTATTTTTCAATATTAAAATTGCAGATAGTGAATTTTATTAATCAATTTAATTGTGAGATTGGAAAATATTTACGCAAAAGATCCCTATTATTTCAGTCGTAATAACTAATTAAATTTCTATAAATCGGACAAAAATAATTTCTAATGACATCAAATAAATTATATTAATATGAGAACCTTTACCGTATTATATTTTTGTTGGAGAATTGCGTACATCTCTGGTGTTGGAGGCTGAGTTACTGGTGAAACATAGTATTGATTCCACTGAGATTTCATGTTATCTAGGAATTTAGTAAGATAATCTGTTGTTCTCGGGGATGCAGCTTTGCTGTTATAATTATCATTTGAAGATTCCTTCGGAAATTGTTCGAATCTCATACGTGAAGGCTTATTATTAACAAGACGTGAATCTTCACAATCTTGTTCATTTTCCTGAGTATTCTCATCTAAATTTAAGTTCGGATTGTAATAAAATTGCATAACCCCTTGCATTGTATTTTCCCTTATATATTTTTCAGGGGACTGTATATTTTGTGGATATATGCCGATTAAACGTGGTGGACCTATTACAGGCTCAATCGCGATCTGACGGTTCTCCACATGCTTATCTGTAATTAAGTAGTTTACACTGAAAGTTCATATTAATATCGATTTATATTAATATAGATTTATATTAATATCGATATACATTAATTTACTTTTGTATTTCATTCGAATTCATATAATGCATATAAATTAGAGTTGCGCGACTTTTGCGAAAATAAGTAGTACATAGATAGCATATTAAATTATCCTATGGAGATATCGAACTTTATTTTTGTTCTTTAAAATATTTACCATTAGTATCAGTAGGCTCTTGTTCTGGAAGTAACGAGTCGGTGGCTTTAGGATGTTTATCATCGGTTAAGGGCGACTTCGAGGCCACATCATTGTCATGTGCAACGTTCGCAGATTCACTGGATTCCGTGTTTGTAGAATCGGAGTCAAGTGACCTTCTGTACCGGTGGTGATGGTACGGACTACCCCAGTGTCCTATCTGAGGAAATGTCGTTTTAAAGAAATCTTCAATAAATTATAGGATCAATTTGCATGTACAAGATCAGTATTTAATTATAATTTTTTACTCAAAGAAAAGCTTTTGTAATATAATGACGTATATATTTATTGCACAAGTCAAATTGATATTTGGTTTTATATTTTTTATTCTTCAAATTAAATGAAATTTAAGAGATCAATGAGATGATAATAAAATATTGCGAAGTTAAATGAATGAAACATATGTCAAGTTAACAATGTGATGAGCACTTACCGAAGGTTGTCGATAACCGACGAATACTGAAGGCCGCGAATATCCATGGCTTCCTATTCTTGCGTAATGTGGATGGTTCCTTGGTGAAAAATGATGGTACGGTGAATAATGTTGGAATGGATGATATGGATAGCCCACCAGATTTGATGAATCTTTGGATTCATAATAGGGATGCACTGTTCGAGCATTCTGAAGATACTGAAATTCTTGGTTCGGTAATTGTTTCGTGTGATATTGTTCAGTCTGAGAGTTTATTCGGTGCAAAGCAGGTTGCGAATATGGATTTTTGCCGGAATGTTCATAACCAGGTTGAACGATGACATCGGCAAATACAACACTTGCTAACGAGATTGTCACTGCTAAGAACTGAAATGATTAAGAAAATTTCATGCAAATTGTTTGTGAATAGATATTCAATACGAGAAATTTGTTCCCTAAAGTATTTATGGTATTTATTGTACAATTTGAAATCATTAAGTGAGATTATATTTATAGAGTATTATTCTATTATACATTATTTGTTTTTAATATAAAAATTGAATAAAAAACGAAGAATAAAATACAAAAAAGAAATAAATGTTTCATTAATCATTAATTAAGTATCAATTTCTACAAAATTTCTGCTTAATATTAATGATATATAATTTAATTATGAAAAGTTTTAACTTCAGAAATTAAAGGCTTATAAAAATGTTAAGTAAATGTAAAATATATATCAGAAAAATTTACTCACTAATTCTCGATACGGAAACATCGTGGTTTCTTGTTGCTCTTGCTGTTCGTCCGAGACTGATACGACTCTTCGGTCTGTCACCAACTATAAATACCCATAGAATCGCTGATGTTAGGAATTTCGTATATTCCGTAATTTGAGCAATTTGCACATTGTGGCTACTGAAAAATCGTTCGGGCCAAAAATACGAACGTCATCAAATGTTCTTTAAAAAACTATAGCATTACTCGTATTCGCATTCTGGAAACATCGTTATGTAAATTGGTACATTTGCTAATTGAAAAAAAGCGCGTGCTCGCGTTATGTCGAAAACGGCATGCGTTTGCTTAATAGTTAACTTGCGAAAGAACTGTAACGATCATCACGATTCGTGTGGATTATTTGATTCGACTTCCGTTTATTGTAAAACGCACGATTACGAAACCTAATAATGATATGCATGCATTGAATGCACGAAATAGTACTTCCTCGCGAGAGTTCGTTGCACTTCGGGGCCAGCGCACCCGTAGACGTGCCCTGATTATTGCGTAAGTGGATAGCTGGATGCCGAGACGTTGATCTAGACTTCTTTCTCGCTGCGGGCCACTCTGAATATAAATATCGCTAAGCAAGCTTTCGTCTGCGTTTTATCGTTATCTCGCGTTATAGCATGCGAACTTTGAAATCAAGACGTAAATTCCTGAAGCAATTTCATAATTTCCAGATATTACATAGTTATACCCACTAGTGATACGGTAATATCGTGTTAAATTATTTCTAATAATCCTCTGTAATTTTAATATTTCTCAGAATAAAAAATCGTTTTTACAATACTGTATTGCGTTTACACACGAAGTTTTTAAAGATGGGGAGTTAAAAAGCAAAATTTTCATCTTTATAATTGAATTTTAGATAATAGTATCTAATTTTCTCATATTAATATTAAGCTTTCTAAATGTGAAAATTATTTTATGTCAATATACATTCAACTTTTAAAAATCGTAAATGTTACTATTACGAATATTTCAATGTTCTCTACATCTTCACGAAGCTATTGTAACTCGAAAAATCTGAAATATTTCGCAGAAACTGGAATGTATTATATTTTTATAAAATAATTCAATCAACAGAACATGATTTTAAGAGCGTTCTATAAAAAATTCAATATCAGCATAAAAATTTCTCAATGATTTACCTCTAGATTCTAGATAAACATTTTTTTTACAAAATATATATTGGTCTCATGTACCTCATACGGTACATGAAGATTATGAAGCACGATATGCTATTTTATATTTTAATGAAATGGTCCAGGTTGCGTATTCGGTACGTGATGCCGGCGGCGCATCTGACGCTGCGCGAGGAGGATGTGGTGCGCCTGACCTTGGAGTTCCTCCATAGCCGCGACCTTCACATCTCGCAGCTCTCACTCGAACGCGAGACCGGCGTGATAAACGGCCAGTACAGCGACGATGTACTTTTTCTGCGCCAGCTGATCCTCGATGGACAATGGGACGACGTGCTCGAGTTCATCCAACCGCTGGAAGCGCTGTCGGACTTCGATATGAGGAAGTTCACGTACTCGATCCTGCGCCACAAATATGTCGAGCTATTGTGCATCAAATCCGAGGCGAACGTTATCGCCGCTGGGACGAACGGCAGCGTCGATAATGCCGTAGAAGAAGTCGTCAAGGTGTTGAGCGACCTCGAAAAGGTCGCGCCTTCCAAGGAGGAGTACAGCAGTCTGTGTCTGTTGCTTACTCTGCCGCGGTTAACAGATCATCTGCAGTATAAGGATTGGAATCCCAGTAATGCGAGGGTGCAATGTTTTCGCGAGGTTCATCCTTTGGTAGAGAAGTTCCTACCGGGTGATAGGAAGAGTGCCGACTCCGCATATCCAATTACCTCAGCGAAAAACGATCGGCTTATTCAGCTTATCATCAAAGGAATTTTGTACGAATCCTGCGTAAATTATTGTCAAGCGAAAGCTACTGGGTCGAAAGAAAGCGAACAGGTGATTTTCGTCTGTTCTTTTTGCTTTATTTTAATAAAGAATATTGAAAATTTTCCCAAACTACATCAAACTAAATAATTTTTGCTTTTTATGTAGAGACGTAGACTATATCATTACTTAATAAAATTAGATAGTTTATTTATAGTTTATTTATTATTTTTTACATTTATTCTTATTCTTATATTTTGCTTACTTCAAAAGTGATGCAATTAAAAAAAATTAAGTTTTTAAAAAAAGAGGCAGAACTATTTTGCAATTTGACAGAAAATTATTGACTAATCAAACAATATCGGCAAAAGTATACCTTACAAGAAACATGATCTAATGTCAATTTTGTCATTTTTATTTTATAACTCTTAGAAAATCACTCTTTTTGAGTTGAAAATTTTGATATCCTACAAAATTATTACAAATCTAGAATAATTTATTAAAACTGATATAAATAAAAAATTTTATGTATCCAACAGTTTATATTTACTTTTATTACTTAAAATGATTTAAAATAAAACAATTTCTTCTTCAATCTTTGATAACCAAAATTGTCTTAACACAAGTGTTCTCTGTATATAGGAGAGTTTTCTTTTTATTTACGAAAAACTTAATGTACGTCATACTTGTTAAAAATATTATGATCCCTTTGAAAACATTAAAAATGATACAAGTGCTGTATATATTTGGCGGTTTACTTTCGATGATTGATAGAATAATTTTTACCTGACTCATTCATAATAATAATTCGAAAATTACTTTTTAGTTGTATCACTTTTGAAGTAAGGATGTAATACGCATTTTATTTAGTTTCATTTTGTTTAAATGTTTTATTTCGTACGTCTTTATATTATAGGTAGAGATGAGTTTTTCGAGGCTACTGGATGGATCTGTGGGTTTTAGCGATTCGGATTTAAGTTTACTTTCATGGCTTCAAAGTATACCTCCTGAGACGTTTGCCGTACCCTTTGCACAAAGAACCCTGAACGTCGATGTGGAGCGCCTGGAGAGGCCTTCCTTGGAGACTTCGTGGACGGAGCATATGTTGATAACGCCGATCAAACCGAAGACTTTTCCGCACAGCGCCATGCCGTTTACTAGGCCGAGATCCGCCGCAGATATGATGTCTCGTAGCTTAGTGCCGGCTTTGGAAGCTGGTCTCGGGCCCAGGAGTCCTAAGAACACATCTATACCATCAGCGGCGCTTATGGCGCTATCCGTCGGCGACGTAAACCCGATGTCCAGGTCATCGTTCGCTAGCTTCCATTTAACCGGATTCAAAAACAACAAATTAATGAATACTAGCGTCGATAGGCTTTTCGAGAATGAGGGTGATGTCTTCCTTAGCTCGAATTACGCCGAATTTCAACAATTACCCTCGATACAAGAGACCGCGATGAATGCTCAACCTAAGGCTCCGCCGAGGACTCGAGGACACTCCAAAAGCCCTGATGGTAAGATTATAAAATATATTTTATATTTATAAGTTTTTATAAGTTATTTTGCTTTGTGCACAATAGAATATCATAAATATTAAAAGATTTTAATGAAAAAAATGATAGATTTTTTATCCTAACCATGTAATATATTTTTAATAACATATATTTGATTATTTCAATTAATTAATTTAATTAATTAATTTAATTAATTTGATTAATTTTATTATTTCCACGACTGATGAATTTATTAAATGTATTGTTTTGTATATGTGTATATGTGTAGTTTCATATGTAAAAAGCTAAATTATCTCAAAACTCTAATTTTTGTAATGTAGGCGTGGAAATGGATCCTTCAGCGACATCCACGCCGGAGCGCAGAGTGGCTGGGAGAGAAGAGATTCCTTAGCGGAAAAGCCCACGGGAGTCGCAGCTAAAATTACAGACCCATCCGTGATACCGATTAGAGCGATGGTGGCTCCTAGCGACAACCTCGAACAAAGTTACAATGGTGGCCTATTTAAAGAATACCAGAAACAGAAGCAAAGGTTGCAGGAGACTATCCAACAAAAGGAAAGGGAGAGGGATGAATTAGTCAGACAGTTAGCTGCACCGTTACCTATGCAAGTAGCAGATAATAGACTTCAGGGAGAAGGGTGAGTGATATTTTAGTGTTACATTTTATTCAAAAAATAATTCCAACGAAGAATCATAAAGATGTGATATTTATGATTCTCAAATTGCCAGAAAGCTAATATATTTTCGCTTAATGAAGCATAAGGACATGCGATTTAAAATATCATGCGATATTTTTTAATGGCACTACCGCATATTTAATATATGTACTGTCAGTATTGCCTACATCGGTTCTGTTGCATCGAATGCACCTAATGAAAAGTTGGAGCTCGTTGCATTCTCCAACAGATGGCGATAGCGAAATGCCTTTGTTACGTTTATTATGGTAAAACGCGTACTGAGAATAGCAGCTTAGATTTAGACTCCGATGAAGTGATGATTAAAATAGATTGTTACCCTCTCGCGAGAATCGGCAGAAAAAACTTATTTTGACTATTTCGGTTACTTCTATCTAATTTTTCGAGCTAAAAGAAGTCTTAGAGAAATTCTCAAAAGATGAGTCTGTATAAAATTCGTAGAATGAATTATTCCAGAAATCTATTAAATCATTCATTAATCGTAATATTTAAAATAAATTTGGCAAATTAAAAATTGATTAAATATTTAAAATAATTCACATGAAAAATATTATTCTAAGAATTCTTCGAAAATTTTAATTTAAATTTTTTTCCAATTAAAAGACTTGAACACATTGAAAAATAAATTGTTCAAAATTCACACTTCCTATATAGAGTTTTTTAATGAATACCAGTTCGATTTCAGGAAATAATTTTAATGCCTGTTTATATATCATTTCGCAATTGATTGAAACAACCTTCGAGAAAGCGAACGTTGCTCGCACAGAGACCAGTAATCGAAATCGGAATTCAATCACGGTTCATTGGCATCGACTGCTGACATCGTGCTCAAACCGGATACCGGATGCATTTGTACAGCAAAACGGTGACCGTACAATTCCATTCGTCTCGGTCCTGCCCTATCGATGATTCACGCGCATACCTCCATATTTATGGCCACATTATTTCATTCATATACGTGACTGCATTCTACAAAGTGTATATCAATACGTAAATTTTGCACACTTATCTCGAATTTACAAACGTGTATCGCATTACTCATGCTTAAAATCAATGATGTCATGAAAATTTAGAAATAGAATGTAGTAACATAAATTGGAATACAGATTATTAATTAAATTCATTATTTATATTTACATATCAATGATTACATTAGTCTAATCAATATTTTTTATAATCCAGATCAAAAAATTGACATCACATTCATAATTTGTAATAATAATAAAATTATTATCACAGTTTTATCTTTCATTTACGAAATTTTAGCTTAGAGAAGCTAGCTTAAAATATATCTATGAGCATATTATCTATGGGATATTTTCTAAGTAATAATTATTTCATCGTATGCCGTTGTAATAGTATTTTCACTCGCACTTACGTTTTCATGAACATACTAACGAGACTGGCTAGAGCAATAATGTTGACGTTTTCGTGGAATGAATCGAGGAATTAACTCAGAGTCCAAAGGAGTTTCAAGTGTCTGGCAGTTCGTTAACGGCGAAATATGGCGTATGATATAGATGGTGGCGTTTCGCGGTCGAGATGGAGGCCAAATGAGAGCCCTTGATCCTTCGGCGAGTTCAACAAACGTGGTTATTCTTGATGATTCGCTAGATTTATCGGACGGCGCGTTCTGTTTTTGTTAACGACATATAAAGCTCCTTTTGAAATACCTTTGAAGCATTCTGTCATCTTTCAAAACAATGACATAGCTCGAAAGAAATTTTTACTTTTATGCAAACATTCTTGAATTTATTTTATGACTTTTAAAAAGCGGAAAATTAAAGAGATTCTTGTTTAATTTGTCAATAAAATTAAGAAAAAAAATCTATAAAATTATTTTTTAAATGAATGTTTGAAATTAAAATACTTTTTAAACATAAAATTCGAAAAATATAGTTTTTAGAAGCAAATTAGCGTGTGAAAAAAAGAAGTTTTCAGACATTTGAATAGAATTACAGGAAAAAGTACGTTTAATATGCAATATTTTTAGAAAATATCTTTGAAAAGATATAAAGAGTCTCAGAAATATATCGTAAAATTTTTAAAGTTACACATAAAATTGAGACTCATCATAAGATGCTGTTACTTGTCGGTCTTTCTGACAATTTCATTTCCATTATCTATTTATGTTGCACTGTCAAGAATGTCGCGTGGCACAAATATTTTACCATCGATCACGTAAATGTAATGCGTCGAATTTCCTTAACTAGGCGAAAAATTGTTTCGACTTGATGGTACATTCTGCCGATGTCAAAGATGAGTCTTCAGATTCTCTTGACATCGCGATCTCCGCTGTTCATTCGTTGTAACGCAGCCACCTACTTGTGCGTATACGGCAAGATGCATCGCGTAATTAGAACGCGCGAGCAGTCGTCATTGGTAACAAACGAGGCTTTGTTGGAACATCATCGGAATACGAAGTAATCGCGAGGCAGTCTCTCTTTTTCTCTCTTTCGCTTGAATTAAAAGCGCCTCGTTAGCATTGAACACTCCAGGTGTTGTGGGCAAAGATGAATAGAAAACAAAATCCGCTTTGAATAACCGTTCTACATCGACGAGTTTATTTGTTGTGTAAATTTTCATGCGGTCAAAAGACCAATTAATTACATAATTAAGTTACCAAGCGCGATTATATAATTGTGTAATTAATTTCTTTTATAATTGCCTGCGACAAGTTTACTTATGTAATAAGTAAACTTACGGAAGTATAGAAAAACTTTATTACGAGTTTACGATAAAATATTTTATCAAATACAACACACATATATTTAATATCTCTAATTAAAAATGTATTAAACAAAATCAAAGATGTGAAAAGAAAATTTTAATAAACAGAATAAAATAATTATTTTTTGATGATGAAATGATTAATGATTATATTAATGATTATCTCAACGTACATCAACAATATGTTTATCAAATCTTTTTTTCAAAACAAATATATAAACAATACATGATATTTGCAAATATATTCGTGCATAGTGTTGCAATAATATTACTACGAATTTCATATCGCGTAAGCGTACGTAGCCATACGTTTCGAAACGGAATGAGTCATGAAAGTTTGTTGATTACGGACAAATGTAGGATTGTAGCAGGAAAGAACGCGAAAAAATGAGAATTTAGTGCATCGATTGCTTCGGGATTTTGTGTCGGCAATGTGAAGCTTAATGCACGGACATGATTTAAGAAAGCAGAACGAAGAATTCCTTTTGCTGACGAGCGAGCTGAACGCTGAACGCCATTTAAAAATTCATAGGAACTCATATTCGTTGCTGGTGTAAGGCAGAAAGTGTGGCGATATGTTGTGAAATTGAGTATAACTCGTGTATATCATTTTAACTGCGAGAAATAACTGTGAGACGCTTGTAACTTCTGTTTCTCGAAGCGGGACATCTGCCATATGTTCCTCGTGCAATTCTGTCGAAAGCGATTATTTGCGCGCTCGATGTTCTTTCGCTCGAAAATTATTATCCAGTTGAAAGTAATAGCTCAAAAAAATTTTACTAGCCCTAATCTAACGTCTTCTCTATTACATTTATCAGCTCTCCCCCTCCCCCCCTCTAATTTTACCTTCTCTTTTGCATTTACCAGCCTTAATTTTACATCTCTCTTACATTTATATTCTTTCGAATTTTTGGTACATAAAATATATCTTAATAAAAGCCATCTGGATACCTAAAATATTTTACTAATGCCTGTTTCCACCAATTTATTCTTCATCTTTTTCTAATTCTTTTTTCAGAAAAAGATGAAGAACAAGAACCGAAATTAAAATTAAATTACATTGGCAGAAGTGGATATAAGAGTTCATTAGAATCGTCACACGCATTAAGATACACATTGTTCAAGGAAACAAATGGCAATCAAGATGCATATAAATTAAAACTATGAAACTTCTCGCGTAATTTCATTATCTAACGCTTCGTACACATACATTTCTATTTGACTAATCGTTCTCGATGTTCACCTCTTAACTTTCTATTTATCAAAATGCATGAAAGAGAGCGAGATGCGCTTCTCGTCACGCTATTTACTCCGTTAAAGGAGCAGACAACAATGTTTTTCTCACCTTATCCCATTTATCTCTACATTTACATTTAAGCTCCCTAAGAGCCCGCAAAACTTTCTACACCTCTCGATGTAAATTGTATTCGCGATGTATCGCGGTTGCGCGCACAGCGACAGCTGATCGCCGCGGATGCACCGCGTTGCGCCGTGCATGCAGGCGACCGGAGGGAATCAAAGCAGCCTCTGATAGGTTCGCGATACGCTTTGTTATTACGAGCGGACTCGCCTGCTCCGACAGGCCTGAGCTCAGTCGTGCCTAATGCCGCTGCCAGGCGAATCATAGTCACCACCACCGTTGCCGCCGCCGCTCTTGCTCCCTCGAGATATTCCACGTCGCGTTGGGCCTCCTGGCCGGCAGTATCGGTTCGGTACCGCCCGCAGCTGCAACTGCTGCAGCAAACGACATACCGCTTGTTCGTCACTGCTCTCGCACGCAAGTCTCAACAGCAAAACGAATTCCGCGGCTTCCTCAGCGGTCAAACTTCCTCAGTCGGACTCTCGCTCTTTTTTTTTTTTTTGCGTTTTGGAGCCGTGTCGATCGTCGAGTGCATTCCGTTGCGGCCGTGAGGGACCGTCGACCCTCGAGTTTCGTTCGTCGAAAAACCTTTGTCGTGCGAGAAATTGTCCACGCAAAGGAAACTCCGTGTATGTACGTGGCGATGAAGGCGTGAAGACGCATCACGACTCGACGGCGAGAAACGTGCAGGAAGCATGATTTATCATAAACCGACGACGCCGCGATTCCGCATCGCCGAACGGATCTGCGTGCAGCCTCCTAACAATCGGCCGACTTATAATAAACAGAACAGTCACAGCAGCACGTGCAGTCTCCGGAGCGTCAGTTCCACGCCGCCGTGCATAAGTCGGTAAATATTACTCGTTCGGTCGCTCGGTGACATTTACCGTAGTATAGTCTACTGACATTTTCGATCAAAATGTCAAATAGATTTTAATTTTTAATAATTTTAAAAAATTTTTTTCTTTTAAAAGTTTCATTAAACGTTTAAAAGGAAAAAATTTTAATAAAGTTTACGATTCAGATTCGATAAATATTTAATAGTTATTTTAAAAATCATCCATTGTTCTTGATCTAATCCAATTTCTTAACAATCTATTTTCAAATAAATCTACAGCTGCTGTTTTTAAAAAAGATTTGAAATTAATCAACCGATATTATTTAATAATAATATGTACACTGTAACGCTTATTTTAGATTGACATATGATAAATATTATCTACCATGTCACATAATTTGCGCATATATTTTTCTAAAACTTTTAGAGTGAAATTTTACTTTTAAAGATTGAAAATTGAGCCACTCTTTTTCACTCTACAGAGATTCCGCTCCAAAGAATTTAGAGAGTATGCATATATTTATCGATTGATGATTCCTAAATATTAATGCATTACCATGATTTCCATGAATACGGCTCAATCATATTTATTGTGTTGTATAACATATAAGCCGCAACTTGCTCAGCAAAGATGCAACTTGCTGAGCTTGTGAAGCTATGCCGGGAGCTCATGTCGCATCGGAAAACGTTACCTCGATTGAGAACGCAGCACGCGCCGTGATGCAGCGCGATTTTGTATAACGGTAACGAAAACTGAGCCACGCACGATGATCGACTGAAGAGATTGTTTCAGTGATTTAGAGAATGTCGGATTGTAAATCATCTGTATGTACTAAACCGTTACGTTGAAAAAAGTGACAGCTCCTTTGCGACCAAACGCCATTATGGAATTGGTTCACCTCTAAGTGAACAATTATGTCGATTCTCGCGGGAAACTTCGAGAAAATAGAGAAATTTTACATACATTAAGTCTCACGAGAGATAATGCAACTTATGAATTATTACATGTCGTTCATGCATGTCGCATCATTTGAAATGATACTTAATCCGTTGTTCATGCCTCTCTGGATGGCAGGCAAGTCTAAGTTCACAGAGGTCAACATGGACCAACGTCTCGTTTTTCTGTGTTAAAACTCGGAGGGTGACAACGAATCCCTAATAAATCACGTCTCGCTTGAGTAATAGCTCGGGTTGAGAAAGGTTTCGTGACTTCTTAGACTTCTTCATTTCTGTTTCTCTATGAAAATCCCGGTCACGACTAATTCCCAAGCCTATTCTTTAGAAAAAGAATAGATATTAAATAGGATATAGTAAATTATTTGTATCTAATGATTCGATAGAGAAATTCTTTATGCCTGAGAAGCAAAAACAAATAAATTATCTGTAACATATAAATAATTTTTTAATAAAAATATCTCTTGTAATATATATTTTATCTTTTTTAATCAAAACTTTTAAAAAAATTTTAGATTATTTTATCTTAAAAATTTCATGGATCCACATTTATTTAATTTATCTTGAAAATTATAATTAAACTTTTTCTAGGCTTCTGCTTAAAAAGAAAAAGATTAATCTTAGATCCTGTGCTGCTTAGATTTAGACGTGTTTTACGTATAGCTATTATATATACGTAGCTATTACGTGTAAATGGATGGCTGGATTTATGCCGACTTAATAGTGAGATCGCTGGAATATGTCAGCGGAAACGAGAGATTAATAAGTAACAGATGATCGCGTATAAATACCTCCAACCACAAAGTCCTATCTTAAGAAAATTTTTTTTTAATTGCGTGTGATAAAACTTGATTGCCGTCGAGAATTATCGTTCGTGTTTGTTCTGGCATTTGTAGGATAAAGCAACCTTTGGGAAGTAAAGGACCTTCGCCCGTTCACACGAGTGCACCTGTTCGATCTGGAATCCAGTTACCGAAGCCTACGATCAATGGGTCGGATCCAGTCGCGTAAGTTTTCAGTCACATCGTATAAAAAACTTCGCTGCAACAAATACGCGAAAATTTATAGCTCTTTCAGAGGCATTGCGTCATTTTTGATATCGATACATTTAGCATCGAAATAATTTTGTTTCCTGCTTTCTAAAACAAATTTTCTCTCGTTTTGTTAGAAGTATTCTATAAATGATAAAATTAATTTTCGTTTTCTTTTATTATTATGTATCATTTATATATTTTTTAAATATTTTTGCGTATATTTTTATCTTTTCCACAAAATTTATGATTTTATTTATTTTCAAAACATAGTGCAATGTTTAAGTTGGTCATATATATGATTCTTTGCAGGAGGCAAAACTCGGTATCAAGCGGCATTTACGATTCAAGAGTGCCGGAAGGACATTATGATGTCATCAAACCGAAAGTAAGTCAATTTTTAAATACCATTGTATTTTTGCGTCGCTGTTTATACACAATTCGCGGCTACTTTCCTTTTTCCAAGATCGTAATACTGTGTTTATGTGACATTTAATACGGATAGCATATCACTCGGTTATCACATAATAAGCATAAATCATTAGTATCGACTACTCCGAGTTATATGATCATTTTATTACCACGTGTATGGTAACGTTGTCCTGTTGTTGAAAAAAAAGTACATTGACTTGGCACTAGTATACCGCATACAACGTATTTTTTATCCGTCTTTCCATATTTTCTACAAGCTTTGACGTAAAAGCTGTAATACATTTATAGTGTCGTCCGTAATTCACCAGAGAAACCCGCCTTCCACATTTTCCATGAATCGATCGAGATAGCACAAGCACATAAAATCAATCTATATCTCTCTACATCGCTTCCGGTATAATTTAGAGAAAATTTTAAGATCGTTATCTTGCTATTTTTACGCTGAGTAAGAACGTAATGTTCAATATAAAAGACAAATGCGCCGATAAACGGGATGTGTTCGCATTAAATCTGTGAGTAGAAACTCTGCAGTTTGTATAACAACATATTAGAATTACTAAAAATAGATGCATCACGCTTCGTAAATTTTATTGAGCATTAAACTGAAGTATATCTCATATACTAACATAGATATATCAGAGAATAAAAATTTAAATTTATGATATTCTAGTATCTTTCTGACAGATTACATTTTTTTGTAGATAGTCGTTATTAATATATCATTTATTTCGCAACTTGTACGATTATTTCTTGTTATATAAGTCTTTCATCTTTGTCGATTGACTGTCTACATTTTTGGTTTAATTTTCTTCGTTATTGATTAGTTCTGGTTATTAAGAAATTGTCAATTAAATGCTATAATTGCCTCAATTGCCAATTAACTATTGGATAATCTTCTGTATGCCCTTTCGCTTGACTCGATAGATCTTATTTCTCGTACCTTTCATTCCATTTTGCTCGTAAACTCATTTTCTCAAAACGTATTTTATATTAAACATTCATGATTTTTTCACTTAGTTTAATTAATTATTAAATACACGTTTATTTTTTAACTTTTATTTTATCAAAAATCAGTAGGTATAATAAAATCGCTTCTGAATTTCTTATGTTTAATAGTGTGATTTATTGCGTCAAATTTTTTTTTTATAAAATTTGAATACGCGTGACATTCGTGCCCAATGTTCATGTACAATACGAAATTACGCATTTCCGCGCCGGATAAAACAACAATAGCGGTCGACACGAAGTTAGCCGAAAATTTACATGTCAATTGCTTTTTCTATCTCCGATGGCGGAAATGATACAGCAATGAAAAGAGTCGAAGAGCGGCTCCTCTATCATGAATGGAAATGGCAAATAGATGATATTAAACGTGTCCGCAAAATTCGACTATCATTCGATTACTAATTCACGCGAATATGTTTGAAGGAAATAATGTTAAATGATGATTTAATAGTTGACCTCCATTTACCATGTTCTGTCCTTGTATCATTTCTGCGCATTTCATACCTGTCGGTTTCCTGAAAACGGTTTGGTTTGAACGTACGAAATAAATCTGTTTATTTTTATTACTAATTGTGTCAACTCCCTCCCCCCTCTTCAAAAAAACGATACTGCAATGAAATTGTATTACGATAAGAATCGAAAAGCTTACTGTCATACAAAAAAATATCACTACTCTGGATTCAGTGACCTCGTTATTAACGCGATTGCATTATGCAATGCAATAATTTCACGGAAATGTCGTGACGTCAGCTAGGTGTGGGTAATCGCAGTAAACGACGCGTTTTATAGATATGATTACTAACTTCCTAAACTTCAAAGAAATGTTACGATTTCCGTGCATTTGATGTATTTCATTGATATTTATCGATTTACTATTTCTGAACTCTTGGGTTGTTTATTAGTCATCATTTGTTCTGCGAGAGAGGACAAGTTACGAGCACCTTGGTAAAGTTACTTAGACCTTTTTTTCTTTATTCGCTATATATTCCCGACAACAACGACGCAATATATTAAACTGTCAGAATAGTGCGGAAACTACGACAATTGTAACCGAAGATTGAAATGTTGCGCTTTTGCGTAAATGTGCCGGCGATGTTGTAGCTTACCGACTCCCTAGTTTCACCCGTTTGTCTTTGTACGATTTAGCGAATTGCGAATCGGCTATGAAAGTTCATATTGACATGCCTCGCGTTATGAGAATATCCATTCGCGTTCTACATTCGCGATCCCCGTAAGGCCTCTAAGGCCTTCGCGTCGTAAATGCGATGACAGCGGTGTGTTTGATTTTTATATTAATAAAGTCGACAGCTGCGAGAGAGCAATTTCTCTTGGTGAAAATTTAATGACAAGATTTGCATTATCTCTACTTATTTTTAATCGTTAAACATTTAGTATCAAATTTCAACAATAATTCTCTTTGTAATTTGCTAAATGTCTATCTAGTGTTATTTTAATCAGATTTATTATGTATTTAATAATCATTAATATAATATTTTAAGATTAAACGCTAATTATTAAGAAATAAATTTCTAAACGATTAATCTTCTACGACTAAATCGCAACGGCTGTTGCAAAAATCCGATGAGATCTTCATACACCTACATTCGAAATTCTAATGTCCATTCTCGTTAGATTATATCGTGCTATAACGCAGCTGCAGAATGTAAATTACATCGCACGCTTAAGAGCGCCGATATTATCATCTGTTGTTCACAATTGGAGGAAGCATAGCGTTATTGACAGAAACGGTACTGTCGCGTGGGTGCTCCTTCTGAGATTTTTCGACGCATTATGTTCTATCGTCATCTGAGAGTTACGTAGAGGCTACCTCATGGTCGTTGATGATTGCACGGAGGGAGGTCGAGCCGAGCTGAGTTAGATGAATTAGCTTAATCAAGCTTTAAGTTCCTTTAAAATGGATTTGACAAGCACTCTAATAGACATAACAATTGTGGTAATGTCAACTCACTGCCGATGCAACGCGACACCAGTGTTTGCGAGCATGTCACTTTTTCAAGAGGGAACATACCCTTTCCAATACGCGAAGCAAAGTCGTTATTTACCTTCGTCAAGGTGAACCGGAATAGGCTTCTTCGTGTAGGTGTCAAAGAGAAGCCGAGTAACTCGATAACCTGCAAATACATGCACACACGTTTTATAATCGTGGCGCTACTTGGCGATGATTCTGCTCTGGAAGGTATAAACACCATATCAGATTGATATTGGGCACATGTTCCGAAAATATTGAATTACGGTATTAAACATGCCTGTATTTGAATTACAAATTATATTAATTATAAATGATAAATTAATTATATATTCAATATTTAGTTAGCATAAGATATTTATACGAATTTTACCCTGAAAAATGTGCTATAAATTGATACTTGTTGTCTCTCGTCTAATTGCTATTCCTTTTTCGTAACACTAATTGCTCATCTCAGTTAATATCGTACGTTACTTCATGTCCATAAGCTATCATCATATATTTTTATTCATGTGTTAAATGAATTACTAATGCATATATTCATCAAAATTAATAAGCATAAAGAATTAATGTTCGTATTAATTAAAATTTTGTAAATTTTAAATTTTACATTCTTTAAATTTGAAATCTGCAATTTTTAAATTAAAATATTATAAATTATCATGTAAATTGTAATTGTTTTCGATTGTAATTTTTGAAAAATACATATAGGTATAGCATTAGAAAATAAGTATAGCATGACAACACCTGCAATGTTCTAATACCATAAAATTGTGATGACAAAGCTTTTAGTATATTTAATTAATTCTCTTTTGGGATAAATTACTTATTAATGCAGTTTGCTTTAATTCTTTTTTACATAATGCCTTAGAAAGCATAATTTGATCTTAGAATATTGTTCGAATATAATTTGTGGCGCATTGTAGTCTTTATTTACAGAAATTATATTTGCTTGATTGCGATATGTCCAGTACGTAAATACACTTGCAATCCGTGTTGCCTTTATGAAGTATAACGCAATTGCGGCTCCATCTCGTTGGCTACATGAAAGAACGTTTCCGTTCACCAGATACCAAGCTCGCAAATCGTTCTTCTGCCTTTAACCGGAGATGGCGCTAACTATAATTACGATTATCAATAAAAAAAAACTTTATATATGAACGTATTAGTAATCATGATCATGAAGAGATCATGAAGAGATTAATTTGACGATGTAATTTATATGGAAGAGTTTTTTTTTGTGTTCCAATTTTATTCAAAGTGAAAGTATAATACTATTATGGATGTTTCGAGATGTTACGTATATCTTATCGAGATTCTATGATATGGAATAATGCAAATGATTATAATTTGAAATTAGCAGCAATTGCGAAAAGAAATTTTATATATTTAATTAATATTAATTAAAAATTAATTTCATTTCTTTTTTAGTTTTTATTTTATTTTCATATACTTACATTTCTTCGCCAATCTCGGATTATATTATACTTTATAATTTGATTTTAATGTATTTGTGTTAATTTCCATTTATATTCCTATAACAGGAATTCTTCGTATTTTACAAAAAGATAGTACTATTACTTAAAAGCATGATGCCGATTGTTTACATTGATTAAAGATGAGTCACTTGCCATTCTAGTTTGCAATACTCTGCAACACAAGTGTTTTTTCTTTGCATATCGTTTAGCCAGTTCGAGTGTTTTATCTCAAGATATTAATTTTTTTATTTCGTTAAATGTATAATATATAATACATTTTATATCTCCTACAATTATGAATTTATCTTTTTTGATTAATTATAAGGAAGATAAGTACTAACACTTAATATAATTGCACTACGTTTAATATAATTTTGCCTTTTCTTTTTTTCGATTCCATTTATCTTAGTTTTTATTTACCTAGCCTTGCTCTGAAGATTATGTATCTAACATTTAAAAATAATCGCTCTATTATATATAATCTAT